CCGGTTCTGCTGTTGCTGCTGCTGCTGCTGCTGAGGTAAATTCATCTGCGGCGGCGGCGGGGGGGCGGCCGAGAAGGGGCTGCTGAAGGGCCCGGCGCAGGGGTTGTGCGGAGACACCGGCGAGAAGCTCTGGAAGAAAGCGGGGTTGATCGATGACGGGATCCCCGGGTAGAAGCTGGTCTCGGACTCCGGGCTCGGGGGCGGCATCGCGCTGATCTGCCCGCCGCCGCCGCCGCTGGAGACCGGAGGCTGCTGCGTCTGCTGCGGAGGCGGCGACGAGGTCTGCACCGACCAGGGGGTGCCGAAGCCGGGCAGCGGCGGAGGAGGAGGGGAAGCCGCCGAGGAGGAGCCGCCCCCGCTCTGGTGATGGGGGCTGGGGATCTCCGGGCTCTGCAGGCTGCTGAAGCCAGAGCCTAGCCCGCCGGGCAGGAGGTTCCCGGGGCTGCCCAGCAAGTGGCTGTTCGGGGGGGACTCCATGGGGGGCAGCTTGGCTCTCGCCTGCAGATGAGGAGGAGACGGAGGCGGATTCACGCAGGAGGCGGCGGCCACCCCCACATTGGGGTCCGCGGACGCCGATCCCCCCGGGCAGGAAGGGGCGAGCCGCTCTGAACCCCCCCTGTCCGCGCCGCCCTTGTGCTCGGCGGGGCTGAGGGGCCGGTGGTGCGGGTAGTCCCCCGTCCGCGGCGGCTCCGGGGGGTGAGCGCTGAGGAGCGGGAGCTGCTGCTGTTGCCTGCGCTCCTGCTGCTGGTACTTGTCAGTGGGGTGGCTGAACTGCTGCTGCTGCTGCTGCTGAGGGGGGGGGTGATGATAGTCTGGGGGGTGGTGGTTATTCAGGGGGTGGCTGCTGCCGAGCTGGGCTGGGCTGCTGAGCTGCTGCTGCTTAAACTCTTTCCTCTTCTGGCTCAGCTGAGGAGGCGGCGGCTGTTGCTGCTGCGGTTGCTGCTTGTTTAAATCCTGGTGGGGGCTGAGACTGGGTTTAAAGTCAGAGGAGGGGTGGCCGAGAGGGGGGTGTCCCGATGCGGGGCTGCTGCCCAGCCTCTCGCTGCCTGCCTGCTGCTGTGTCACCCCCAGGAGCAGCTCATCCTGCATGTTTTGATGATGCGCAGCAGCGGCCGCCGAGGGGAACAGAGAGGGCGGCGGCGACCCACCGGACACGCCGCCGCTGCCGGAGGAACCGGTTACAGCGGGTGAGGAGGAGGAACGAGAGGCGGCTGCCGCCACTGCCAGGGAGGGGAAGGGCCCGGCGGAGCCAGCGCCTCCTACACCCGAGGGTGGGCTGGGGCTGGAGGTCGCCGTCTGCGGGAGCCCGCGGCTGCGATCCCCCATGCAATGGGGGGGGGGGCTCCCCGGCACCGGCTCGGCGGAGGGGCGAACTCCCCACCCCGGGAGTCTGAAGAGACAAAGATAATTAATAATCTTCAGGGGGAGTGGGGGGGGGGGGAACACCCGCCTATCGCAGACCACTACACAAGCCAAAAAATAGCCACTTTCTAGAAAAAAACCCTCTTCCTTGCCATAATTTCCACTACACTGGTTTTAAAAATATCGGAGCCGTTCGATAATAAATAATACTATTTTTGTCAGGGGTTTCCCCCCCCACACACACACACTTTTAATCTATCGCGACCCCCGGTAGGGCGGCCCTTCCCGCCTACAGTCACGCACCCGCAGTAATCCGCAGATCACCATAAATACCCGCGGACAGGTCGTGCCCCCCCGACAGCCCCCCGGTAACTCCTCCGTCCGACCCCGACACCCCCCCCCCCAGCCGCTACACCGGGTAACGCGGGGGGAAAGCGGGGCGTTTCCAGGCTTGGCACTGGCGGGGAGGGAGGGGAAGGAGGGAGGGGAGGCCGCCGGTACCCCCACAGGGCGGGCGGCCCCGGTTTCAGCAGCGAGGCTCCGCTTGACCCCCAGCCGCCTCCCCCGCCCCCACTGCCGGCTCAGAGCCGGCTGCAACGCCCTTAAGAATGCCGGAACATTCGTCATGGTTACGTCATGGCCCCACCCCCCGCGCCCGGCCGGCCGGCCGACCGACCTTGGTAATGAGCCGGCGGGTGCGCCCCCTCATGAATAATGCATTACAGCGGCAGCCCCACCCCCTTGCCTGTCGCTGGCGCTGCTCGGGGCGGGGTGGGGGAGTGTGTGTGTGCGCTCGCGCTGAGCGACGCCCGCGCGCACGGCGCCGACGAGCCGGGTGAGCGCTACCACTTAAGCGGGGGG